CTTGGCCGGGCTCTTTTTTGGGGGGGGTGGGGCTGACTCCCCGGGGCCCCCAAGAGTCGCTCCCTTCTCGTTGATCCTGCGCTACGGCCGTCGGCCTCGGAGGCCACCTTTCGGGCCTACTCCCGGCTCCCCTCTCCCGGCCTTCCTTCAGCCTGCCCCGGCCCAGGCAGTGCCAGCGATCTTTCCACGCCAAAATCAAGAGGTCCTCTTTTTTTTCTTTTTTTTTTTGCAGTCCGTTTTTAAAAAGTCCTCCTCTTTCCATTTTATATTCTAAATGTAGGAACTAAAAAACAAACACCCATCGGGGACTGTATCGGGCCATATCTATCCGTCTAGAGAGAGATGGTGATATATTTCGAAATGCGCATTAAAAAAAAAACCTCGTACATTGGAATATATTTAAAAACTGGGATCCCGACTTACTTTCGCAAAATGGTTCGTATTTAATAAATCTTCAAGAAAGCAGAACACGGAACGCTTTCCAAAGAGCCGCTGCCGTGTGGATTTGCTGGATATATTTTACGTGATGTAATAATCTAATATATATTCTCTTCTACTACATTTAGTAGTAGTATACTATATATACTACTACATTTAGTAGTATAGATATATAATACACATTATTTGCTGTGTAGAATAGTATATATAGTAGAATATATATATATTCTACTATTATTTATATATAGTAGAATATATATATATTCTATTATTTATATATATAAATAATTCTACTATTATATATACTATTCTACACAGCAAATAATGTTAATATCTGCCCTGCTTGAACAGCAACATCCAAATGTCCCGATGAACACAGCAGGCGCGATTCGCAGTCCCGGGCCGCAGCAGCGATTTGCTGAAACGGAGCCGGGCGGCCGGGCTCCGTTGCAGCGATCCCGGGATTTCTCCTTCTGTCTCCCGCCCGCCCGCCCCTGGTTAGGCTCCGGGTCGGAGCTGCGATGTGTATATGTGTGTGTGGGGTGTCGAGGGTGCCCTGGCTTGCGGGGCTGTCGCGCTCTTCCCGCAGGCAGGCCTGGCTGGGGGTGCTTTGCGGGAAAGGCACCCAGCGCGTCGTTCCCAGACGTTCCCCAAGCCAGACAGGATCGGTGCCTGTCGGAATATCAGGCAGGCCGGTGCTTCCCAAGCAAAGACGGCGCGGGCAGGCCCTGGTTCGGTTCCCCCAAGGGCGGTTGCAGGAGGGTTCTGCGCAAGGCCGCGGGAAAAACACGGCCCGGGTTGTGGGCCCAGAGAAGTTTCCTGCGGTTTCACGGGACTCCCCCCCCTTTTTTTCCCCCGTGTAGGGCTGCGATCCCGAGAGTGAGCGACACCGGACAGAGCGCGACTGACTTCTGAGTAGGCACGCTTGGCGCTGCCTGGAGTTGGGTGTCTGCACGGGGTAGTTTTGGTCTGGGCATGCGGAGGCGCTGGGGGCCCCGATGCCCTTCGGTCTCCTCGAGTGTCGTGCGCTGGAATGGCTGAGAGGATCCGCGTTGCCCTCCTGCAAAAGGGAGAGGAGGGGGGCTGCCTCTGGCGTTAGACAGCCAGCCGACTGTTTACACCGGACGGGCGGTATTATTGAAATAATGGCGAATGTCTTTTCTTTTAAAAATAGATCCACAGGTCAGTATTCCCCCCCCCCCCAAAAAATAAAGACCCGTGTTTGCTGGGTTATACGAACGGCGTTTGGTTCTCCCGTTGGATCCAAACACTTGGAACCCGAGGCTGGGAAACATAGAGGCGGCCGAGAGGGCTTGCTGGATGCAACTTCTACTTTGCGGAGGTTTGATACAAAACCGAAATATAAATACACAAATACACAACTTCGGGTTCTCTGTCGCCACGTCCCCCCCCCCCTCACCCCGGAAGCGTCTCCTTCGGCCGCTGTTTCGGTTCAGTCTTCACCATAATGCCTCCGGTCTTATCAACTGTTGTCAAAGCCAGTGGCGACCTGTCCTGGTGTGTTTCAAATTTTCCTGGGTATTTGCATGTTGAAATGAATGACGTCGGGAAGGGGTTCCTGGGGGGGGGCTGTGCTTCCTAACCCCTTTTAACTCTTGCGGCCCTGGCCAGGCGGCTTATCCGCCCCGCGAGCTTTCGGGAGACTCCGCATGAGTCCCCTGCAAGGCCGGGAGAGGCCTCTGGCCGGAACGCCGGCAAACTTTAGCAGAAAGGATTTGTTCGCGGATGTCGCCGACAGAAGGGGGGGGGGGGGGGGGAGGAAAGCGGAACAAGCAGCGCCTAACTAAGCCGGTCGGCCATTTTCCCTTTTTATCGCGATGAAGCCGCTTTGCCTTTAAGAGATAAGCGTGGTTGCCGGTGTCTTTTGAGGTGAGGCGCGGCGAGGCGCGCTGGGGAGTGGCGGCCCCGGGGACGGGGCGGGGGGAGCCCGGCAGACGTGACAGGCGGCGGCGGTGGTATGGGTGGGTGCGCGCCCGCGCCTCCCGTTTCGCCGGGTTTGATCCATCGCGATCCACAGATTGATCCCGCTCGCCACGCCGGCCGCTCCGCTCGAGCTGCCCGCCGACGGGGCCGGAGGGTTCGGCTGCGGCCGCGTTTCGACGGGTGGGGGGGGGCGCAGCGGGTCGGGGCTCGCCTTTTTGTTCCCCGGCTCCGGCGGTGGCATCCCTGCTGCCCCTCGGCCCGGAGTGGGCCGTCCAGCGGAGGCCGCCGGTCTCT